TTTTCATTTTTCTTTTTTCTTTCTCCTGTTCAGCTTGATTGCTTTCCATTACTTTGTTCTCCAGGTTGATCTGTTCTTCTGCTTCCTGCAGTCTACTATTTTTTTCTTCTCTTGTGTATTTTTAATGTCACTTATTGGGTTCTTCATCTCTGGTTGGTTCTTCTTTATGTTTTCTCTTCGCTGAGGGTCTCACCTAGATCCTCCAATCTTTTTTTCAAGTCCAGTATCTTTATGACCATTGCTTTATTTCCTTATGAGGCATACTATGTCCATTTCATTTAGTTCTCTTGCTGTGATTTTTTTATTTCATTTGAGACATATTTCTCTCATTTTGTCTAACTCTCTATGTGTGTTTCTCTGTGTTAGTAAAGTCAGCTACATCTCCTGCTCTTGAATGTAGTGGCCTTATGAAGAAGAGGTTCTATAGTGCCCTGCAGTGGCATCCCGTGTTCACCAGAACCTGGTGCTTCATGGGTGTTTCCTATGTGTGTTAAGACTGAGCCACCTTTGTCTTCAGTCCAATTGTGTACAAAAGCTCTCTTTCTCTGTTGTGGGCAGGGTTTGGTCCCTGTGATGTTAGGGGGCCACCTGAACTGCCTTGGGCTTGAGTTGGGTCAGATCAGGGTTTCTCACAGCACTGATCTGCACGGTGCTCTCCCTGTGCTGTGCCCTAAGCTTTTGTTGGTTGGCAGGGTCTGCAGTCAGAACAGATGTCTGGGTCCCAAAGGGGTATATGTGGTTTTTACTCCCCCACCCCGGGTAGGAGTCACTTTGGAGTGCTGCTGGTCCCTGCAGTGCTGCTTGCACAATGTCTTGCTTGTGGCATCACTTTGGATTGACTCTTGCTGAGGGTGGGTTGGAGGAGTTGAGTCTACAGGAGAATGCTGTGTGCTGTTAGCAAGGTGTTGTGCTGGCCTGCTGTGGGAGGGAACTGTTGTTCTGGAGAACTCTCGCTGAGGCCCATTTGGGGTTGGGGGTTCTGTGAAAGAGCACAGGAGCTAGGTGTGCTCTTTGCAAGCTATTGTATAGAGTTCTCAGGTCCTACTGGTCCCTGCAGGTGTCTGTGTATCTAGGCTGGGGAGGGTGAGAGAGGGAAATGGCAGCTACCAGCTTTTTTGTTCTTAGAGAAGTCTCCTAAAGATCCCTGCCCCTCTGACACATACTCTGAGATCAGTAAACAAATCTCCTTCCCATATACCCCAAGTGTTTTTCAAACTGCTGCTCCAATGCTCTCTCTCAGTGGGGCTCTTATGCTGTCTCTTTAAGGACAGGGATTCGGCTTCCTATCACCCTCCAGCTTTCCGAGAGAGGAGTCTGCTGATTTTTAAAGTTCTAGTTGTTCAGTCCCATTGACTGTAACAACTCTCAAAGTTAAGCCCCTTTGGTTTCAAAGCCAAGTATCATGGGGATTCATCTTCCCAGTGGAGGTCTTCTGTGCCTGGGGTGGCTAATGCGAGGTCTGCTCCTCACCATTTCTCATGCCTGTGGACAGTGTTGCAAGTCAGTTTAGTTTCCGACCATGTATCCGCCCTTCCTACCTTTTTCAATGTGGCCTCTTCTCAACGTTTAGCCGTAGAGAGTCTGTTCTGCCAGTCTTCGGGTTGTTTGCTGGGTTATTCACACTGATGTGGGTGTTATCTAGGTGTACTCATGTGGTGAACTTTGGATGCTCCTACTTCACCATTTCACCCAGAAGTCAGATTCATAATTTCTGAAAATATATTTTTTAAAATGTAATTAAATAACTAATTGAAAAGCTAGTGATATAATTCCTGGCAAAATTATTTATCTAAAATTTTAGCCATCATAATACTTTGGATTTCACAGTAAAATCAAAAGTACCCTTGTGAATCCTTCAGTAATATGTTTGTTTATGAGAAATATTTCATTGAAAAACAATAGTTCTTATTGGGGAAAATTTTTTATTTATTACAATTCACACTCACAGATCATCATGTTTTATCCTAGACGTAATGAAGAATGCAGAGTAACAAATTCATAAGTAAGAATACTTGTTCTGATATTCAATTTACTCAATATCAGTTATTATTCACCTACACAGTTAGGACAACATGCTGAGCTCTAGAGATATGAAGATTGAAAAGCTGCATCTTTGCCCTCAAAAGCCCAAAGTTAAAAGAGGAAGGCAAATACATAAGAAAGCACATATGCAACGTACAGAGAAGTGATGCATAGTTCTTGTCCATTTTTAGCCCACTGTCATTCCTCCAGACTTGAGATTTTCACTTACATTTATTTTTTTCCAGTTTCCCTTTAGTTAGAATTCATATGCTACATCTATGTCAGCCTCTGTAAGTCAATCACTGTGTGACACTTAGGTAAAAGCTGACACACAAGTAAGTGCTCAGGGATTATGTTTTTTATCCAGGATTAAGAAATGTGGCTTTTTCCACCTATTTAGTACATGTAACAAATTGCACACATGAGTATTTGAAGGCTAAGCACTGTTTCAAATGTTTTATTCAATATAACTCATTTAAGGACAAAATTATGAACAGGTACCATTATTACCCCATTTTACAGATGAGGACACCAATGTACAGAGGGATTAAGTAACTTCGACATAATCATGCACTGGGTAACAAGCAGAGAATCCTTGATTTGAACCTGTCTGCCTTGCTCCAGTATCTGTCATCCTAACTACCACACATACTGCCTTTGTGTCATGCTGGTCTTACTCACTGACTGTGGTGATCCTTGTTCCACGTTGGAATAAAAAACTAAAACACAAAACTTAGATCTATACTGAAATTCATACAGCTTTTTATACTCTTTGGAGTACAACTTTCTGTATAAATTCACCGAAGCTGAATTTTTCTTATTCGTTTTGCTGTATTGAACATGTGCTTCATCTGTGCATGGTGTAATTCATAGGCCATTATCTCCCATTAAGGTAATGCACCATAGCACGGTCCCTAAGCCAGGGAGCCGCACGGGCAACACACCCAGAAGGGAGGGCGTTCTCAAACTGGAATCCCTTAAGAAGCTAGTGCTCAAGCCAGGCAGAGGTATGATTGAATGGAAAAACTGCTTAAATACTATAAATAACTTGTATTTTTCTCTTACAAAAAATACACTTCAAACATATCAAAGAATTAACTACGAAAAAGAAAAGGAAGTGTATTTTGTACTTTTGCCATAACACGTTATCACAAATTTAGCAACACCATTTCTGTCCATCTGTGGACCACTGAAACTAAAGAGGCAGGTTATCTGCTTCCAAAACACAATGGTGGTACAAGCATGGAATAACAGTTGTAGATATTTCTGTTCAATAAGGGAGAAAAATGGAAGGAAAAAAGAAGTCACTAATCCCAAGAAAGTCTGAAATCTAGTCAGGCAAATTCCATTAAGTTTAATGCTCTGTGGCTTGTGGCCTAGATTGTCTTGAACAGACTGTTAGTAAAAATATGGATATTAACAACTCTGCTTGGGAGGACTCAAGAAAACGAGCACAGTAGAGAAAATATATCACTTTAGATAATACCTACATTGTCACAAACAGACTATTGGTGGAAATACACATATGAAAGGGGGTTGAAGTTGATAGAAGGTAGTTAGATGACAAGTAAGGTTGTGGGGTTTAGTGATGATGAATTTCAGGTGCTGACAGAATGTGAGGATGCCCATTAGAAAGTAGGAGTCCAACAAAATAACCTTCAACATTTACTGTAAATAGTACTTCGGTAACTGGGGGCAAAGGAATAGATGATCAAATTCTATACCTAGACTTCAAAAGTTGTCCTTCCTGATTGTAGGAAATAACACTTTTCATCACTCTTGGCCTGAACCAAGCAATTTTTATTTGCCAAATTATTTATTATTTTCAAATTTTCTAGGGACTAATCTCACCCTAGAATAAAAGCTAACATTTACAGCTATTGCCATTACATAATTGAAACATAGCAGAACCCAAGGGTTTGCAATTCTCTTTTTAGCAGTGGTATTAGTTTACTAATTCAGTAAGAGTGCAGGATTTAATTGTTGTACCCAGCAGGAAATCTGGAATAATTGGTCGTTTTCTGAACAGATTTTACTAATGATTGTCACACATCTTTGACTCAGCCCTTCAAAGGAGAGTGGTCATTCTCCAATGTTGGCCAAATGTTGCATTACTAAAGGATTTGCTTCTTGGGGTACCTGGGTGGCTCACTCAGTTGAGCATCTGACTTCAGCTCAGGTCATGATCTCACGGTCTGTGTCTTCGAGCCCTGCATCAGGCTCTGTACTGACAGGTCAGAGCCTGCTTCAGATTCTGTGTTTCCCTCTTTCTCTGCCCCTCCACTGCTCATATTCTCTCTCTCTCAAAAAATAAACATTAAAAAAAAAAGGATTTTCTTCTTTGTCAGAGATTCTATTAGGGGGTCAAACTGGCATCCCAAGTCACCTCTAAGAAATATGGGTTCAGCTACAGCATGAATTTTATGAAAATATTAAAAAGCCAACAGTGTTATGATTTCACCAACTTTAACTGTACTCTTTCAAAGAAAAATCAACCTTAAACACAAAGAAATAGTGTCTATTTGCTATTGCAGTTCTTCTAAGAAAGCTAAGTATATTTTAAAAGCACAAATAATTTTGTAGTCTAAAATTTCAACTCCAAAAGCAAACAGAGAATTGACAAAATGTACTCTCATGCAAATAACTGCCCATTTATCGCCGTTTGGAGAAAATAAGTGTGTGTTGTATATATTTGTATACACATAATACGTATGTTTGACTCCTACCCAACTGGCTAAATTGGAAAAGGTCAGGCTTTGAAAATTGTTCCTAGAAAATGGATTTATCCAGGCAAATTTGTATGTGAGTCTCTACATATTTTATATACCATAAGATTGGATATGAACATAAGACTATTCCACTTCTGTTCAAAGAGGGCTTTCAGTACATATTTTCTTTAGAACATTCGTAGAATTCAAGTACAAAGCTATAGAAAGCAATAGTATTTCTATATATAACACACTGTATAGTTAAAATAATCATACCAGCTCTTTTAAAATCTCATTGCTCTGGGTGACTCCCCCTAATTCTTCCATCATTAATTCTTGGTTGGGTTTTTCAGCACTTTTCCTACAAAGCAAATTTTCCTCATGTGAATTTTGAATTGCAGGTCCTGGGGCTAACTGATGAGATGTACTTATGATCACATTGTTTTTAGCTCTTACGGTATAGGTTTCCTTGGGCTTTGCTCTTTTTTGGCAGAGCTGGAAGTGAAAAGCATCTTGGAATGCACGGTGAAAATTCTCATTGAAGAAACCATAAATGATGGGGTTGACGCTGCTATTGCAAAAGGCCAGCCAATGTGCAAACGGGTAGATGTAGATGTTGATAACCTGCAGTTCATTTGGAGACAGGTCAGCATAGTCTGAGAGCATCATCAGTGTCCACAGAGGCAGCCAGGAGAGAATAAAAAGCAGAGCCACAATCAGGAGCATCTTAATGACCTTCTGTTTCTTCTTGGACACCACATGCCACTGCTCCTGGTTCTGTTTGCCTGTGTGGGGCACTGTCATCTTGAAGAGTGAAATTCCAATCCTTCCATACATGATGACAATGAGGGACAGGGGAGCCAGGTAGATGTTGGCGAACAGCACAGTGGTGTAGATCTTCCTCATTTCCTGATTTGGCCAGTCTTCCCGGCACCAGTAGACTGGACTGGTTTTATTCTGGGAGTTGAGTCTCACTTGGTAATATTTTTCTTCTTGTACATGTAACATTATTGCAGATGGGGACATAATGGCAATGGCCAGGACCCAGATGATCACAATAATGACAGATGCTGTCTTAATAGTGAGCTTTGGCTTAAAAGGATAGACAACACAGCGGAACCTGCAATTAAAGGCAAATAGCAGTGGGACACTGCCTTGTAACTTTTGACCAAGTTGTGAATTGAATTTAATTCTCCCACTCACATTCCCCTCAAAAAGCATAAAGTTACCATTAGCAGTAGAGAGGCATGCATTGATGTCTTTTGTAACTGATATAAATTTCAACTCAGACTATGAAAGTGATAGCGGTAACTAGTGTTATGAAAACTATTACTTTCCAGATCAGCAGATAAGAAAACTTAAATTAACATGGAGTTGCTACTGAGCCACTTAAAAGCTTTATCTAACATATCTTCATATACTAATTAATTTGAACTTTAATTGCTCTATTGTCCTTCATTGCATGGGTAATGTCTGCTATCTTAAACAAGTTTTCTTCTAGTGTTTTTTTTTAATTGTTTATTTATATTTATTTGAGAGAGAGAAAGAGCACAAGTGGGGGAGGGGCACAGAGAGAGGGAGACAGAATTGGAAGCAGGCTCCAGGCTGTCAGTACACAGCCTGATGTGGGGCTCGTGAGATCATGTGAGATCATGATCAGAACTGAAGTCAGACACTTAACCAACTGAACCACCCAGGCACCCCCTTTCCTCCCATCTACCTACCTTTAAATTATAGGTAACTTTATAGGCACAATTCTAGGTATTTTGTTCTTTTTTTGCAAACCAACTATTGGGTCTTCAAATATTTTTTCATTCATTCAACAAATATACATACAATATATTCATATATATATATGTGTGTGTGTGTGTGTGTATATACACACACACACACACACATATATATGTATATGAACAAAAAAGAAATGCTGTCAGAAAATGGCCAAAGAAAATATTGCGCAATTATGCTAAAATCATGCTGGAGTTTAGATTTGGCAAGTTACTCAGGCTTCTCTAGAGAAACAGAGTCAACAGTATGCATAAATATACAGAAAGACCTTTACAGGATTGGCTCGTGCAATTTGGGAAGAAGTCCCAAGATCTGCAGCTGGCAAAATGGGGACCAGGAGAGCCCATGGTATAGTCCAGTTCACATCTAAGGGCTTGAGAACAGGATAGCCACCGATATAAGTTCCAAAAGCTATCAGGCTCACACCACCAGAAGAGCTAATGTTGCAGTTCAAGTCTGAAGACAGAAAAAGACTGATGCCTCAGCAATAAAAGTCAGGCATTTAATTGCAGGAAGGTCAGCCTTTTTGTTTCTTTGTTCTATACAGGCCTTCAACTGATTGAATAAGGGGCCAACAATAGTAGGGAGGGCAATCTTTTACTCAACCTATTGATTCAAATGTTAATCTCATCAAAAGTACCCTCATAGACACACCCAGAATAATGTCTGACCAAATATCTGGGTACCACATGGAACAGTCAAGGTCACACATAAAATTTATCACTACAACCACTTAGGAAAAAAAATCTCAGTATTCTATCTCAAGCAATGGAAGATAGTAGACTTGTTCAAGACCGTTAGCACCCAGAACTGATGGGATTTTTTTTAATATGAAATTTATTGTCAAATTGGTTTCTATACAACACCCAGTGATCATCCCAACAGGTGCCCTCAATACCCATCACCAACCCTCAGTTTGTTCTCAGCTTTTAAAAGTCTCTTATGTTTTGGCTCCCTCTCTAACCTTTTTTTATTCCTTCCCCTCCTCATGTTCTTCTGTTAAGTTTCTCAGGATCCACATAAGAGTGAAAACATATGGTATCTATCTTTCTCTCTATGACTTATTTCACTTAGCATAATACCCTCCAGTTCCATCCACATTGCCACAAATGGCCAGATTTCATTCTTTCTCATTGCCAAATAGTATTCCTTTGTGTATATAAACCACAATTTCTTTATCCATTCATCAGTTGATGGACATTTAGGCTCTTTCCATAATTTGGCTATTGTTGAAAGTGCTGCTATAAACATTGGGGTACAAGTGCCCCTATGCATCAGCACTCCTGTATCCCTTGGGTAAATTCCTAGCAAGGCTATTGCTGTGTCATAGGGTAGATCTATTTTTAATATTTTGAGGAAACTCCACACTGTTTTCCAGAGTGGCTGCACCAGTTTGTATTTCCACTAACAAGAGGGTGCAAGAGGGTTCCCGTTTCTCCACATCCTCGCCAACATCTATAGTCTCCTGATTTGTTCATTTTAGCCACTCTGACTGGCGTGAGGTGGTATCTGAGTGTGGTTTTGATTTGTATTTCCCTGATGAGGAGCAACGTTGAGCATCTTTTCATGTGCCTGTTGGCCAATTGGATGTCTTCTTTAGAGAAG